GAACAAGCTTCTGCCAAAATTTTGCTGCAGTTCCACCTTTTGCCCACCAGAGGGTACTGTGGCAATAGAACAAAGCAGCAGCTCCCTGCCAGCGAGGGAGTAGGAAGAGCCTGCCTTCTTCACAGAAGGCCAGGTCAGGAGACAGGGGCTACGGCGAGACAGACAGAGTGGGATGCTGGGGGGGTCAGACAGGAGCTCATAAAGGCTAGTAGGGGAGGACAGATTGGGGCAGGGGCTGAATGGGAATGGAGGCACAAGGCCACAGAGGGGAGGGAGGTGCAGAGCTACATAGGGGTGCACATGAGGAGTGCGTGTCTGAGTGGGGGTGGAGGGATACATGTGGACAGGGGGGTACAAGGACACATGGGAGTGTAGAAACACATGGGGACAGGGGTAAATGTGCCTGACTGAATGGGAGAAGCTAGGGGTCAGCCAGCGTCTGCATGTGGGAAGCTATCAATCCCTCCTAACCCCCCCTGTCCAAAAAACCTGTTCCATGCTTTTCCCACCCACACCCAACAACCTTACAAATTCACATCCAGGCTCCTTCCCAGCAATTTACTTGCCTCTCCCTCAGCTCCTTCATTACCCCTGACTCCCCCAAGCCTTTGCACTGCTTCTGAGAGGTGCAGGAAATAAAGTTCTGTATTGTAGTTTAAATGAATTATTACTCAGAGTTCTGTGTTCATATGCCTAGTAAGGAATCTGTCAAAAAACATTTCCTGAATCTTTTTTGTTGTCTGTATTAGAATCACAGAACTGGAAGGGACCTCGAGAGGTCATCTAGTCCAGTCCCCTGCACTCAACGTAGGACTAAGTATTATCTAGACCATCCCTGACAGGTGTTTGTCCAACCTGCTCTTAAAAATCCCCAATAATGGAGATTCCTCCACCGCCCTAGGCAATTTATTCCAGTGCTTAACCACTCTGACAGTTAGGAAGTTTTCCCTAAATTTCAACCTAAACAATTTAAGCCCATTGCTTCTTGTCCTATCCTCAGAGGTTAAGAGCAACAATTTTTCTCCCTCCTCCTTGTAACAACCTTTTATGTACTTGAAAACTGTTATGTCCCCTCTCAGTCTTCTCTTCTCCAGACTAAACAAACCCAATTTTTTCTATCTCCCCTCAAAGGTCATGTTTTCTAGACTTTTAATCATTTTTGTTGCTTGTCTCTGGACTTTCTCCAATTTCTCCACATCTTTCCTGAAATGTGGTGCCCAGAACTGGACACAATACTCCAGCTGAGGCCTAAACAGCGTGGAGTAGAGCGGAAGAATTACTTCTCGTGTCTTGCTTACAATACTCTTGCTAATAAATCCCATAATTATGTATGCTTTTTTTGCAACAGTGTTACACTGTTGACTCATGTTTAACTTGTGGTCCACTATTACCCCCAGATCCCTTTCTGCAGAACAGTGGAGTCACATCTTACGCGGGGGTTATGTTCTAAAGTCAACGCGTAAGGCGAAAATTGTGTATAGTCAAAATTACCCTTGAAAATCCCTTAAATCGCCCATAAAGTACAGTATACTGTACATGGGTTTGTGTATACTACCCTGTAAAGTAATATGCATAAATGTATACAGTAATTCTCCAAATGCTGCCAGGAAGTGAAGGATGAGGGAATAAGACAATGGGAGCTAAGCCAGTGAAGAGGGCATGCAGCTAATTTGGGGTGGGAGAGGAGAGCGAACCCTCTCCATGGACCAATGCGGTAGCTGTGAAAATAGAGTTTTCATCCCCCTTTGTCCACTTCTTTTAGCAAAAAAAAGATGATCCATCCTAGAGATTTCTGGAATCCAAATCCCTGCTTCTCCCTCCTCTTAAATTAAAATGGCTACTTTATCTTTTCCTGATCTTTTGCAAGCTTTCCATTTAATCCATCCTAAGTGCCGAAGGACAGGAGAACACTTGGATGGGGAACACGCTTTTTTGTTTTTAAATTTAATGTTTATCTTTACTGTTGCCATCATAATGAAGCCTCCTTAACTTGATCTCACTAACAGGCTTTTTATGCCTCCCATGACAGTAAGAGGGAGCCATATTCAATTATCTCAATTTATATTATTTCAGAATATTCTGCAAATCGTGTCTTTTATACACAGTTTTGATTAGTACGGACTTGATTTTCAGACTAGTGCTATAAAAAAAATTCCAAAGTACTTTGAAGTCATCAATATTTACTAAAATATTTTATGCTTTTATGCCTACATATAGGATAATTTTCAGCCACTGGCTGAGAGTCAGTAGCAAAGAACAGACATCTCCTTCCCACTAAAATATAAAGCAAGTGTGTGACAACATATACCACCATAACCAATAATATTTACTTAGCATTTCTTCTTAGGAGGAAACACGGATTCATTTTAGGTCACTGTCTATACATGAATTGTTACACACTGACTTACTCTCAAAAAGAGGATTACAGTGAGGATAAAGAATATTAGCAGGTTAAAAAAAAAGCCCGCAAAAGCCAGATGATTTTTGTGTTATATACTTCACAGCTTCAAGTGCCCTCTAGTGGCACAAAGTGTACCTTTAGAAATGTAATTCCCACACCCCCACTTTTGTATAATATAAATCTAGAAATACACTTCTGTGCACAGCAATTCCAAACCATTAAATTCCCAACGCAAAGCCATCTGTACATCAGTGTAAATGTAACAAACTAAACTATTTAATGGATACAGAATTATAATTCAAACTTTCAGTCAAATTGAAATTATAAGTTTTCCTTGTAAGAAGAACCTTCTCTTGGATCACAGAAACAAAAGTCTCTTCATACTACTGCAAAAACAGATACACTGAACTCACTGTGTTTAAATAAATTTTGAAGCAGGAAAATTCTGAGGTAAGGCTGCCAGGCTGTTAAATACGTCCTGCTAGGCCAAGTTACTATTGCAGAGCATAGTTTCAGATTCCTGGCTATCATTACATATGGTACTTGCTGCAATTCCTAGGCACAGAGGTAAGAGAAAGACGCTTTCAAGTACAGTTTAAATGTTAAAAATGGACTAGTTTGGTAGGCTCAGCAGCAGGTATTTGGAATATCAATAGTAGAACCACAGCTTCAAACCCAACCAGGGCTGATTCACCCCTTCAACTTTCCATGATTATACTAATGGCCAATTTGGTTTTTTGTGTATATTGCCGCGGGCCTTATGAAATACTCTGGTGAGCCATGTACGGCCCATGAGTTGTAGGTTGGGCACCCCAACTGTAACATGCAAAGCTGGTTGAGTAAAGCTTGGGGGGAGGCCTAGGTTTCAATATGTGCAAAACTGGTCAAATTGAAGTTTACAGTGCCTTGTTTATACCAGACCTTCAAAACGTTCTAGAACATTCTAACAACACACCTTTAAATTCTGTTAAGCACAGGATTTGGGACACCATTCCAAACTTCTGGACAACCATGACCAATGGCACACAACTGAACGGTGGCATTGCAAGAGCATAGCTAAAGTATTTGTGTTTTCTTGGGATGAGAGGCACCATAAACTAACAGATTTGCATTTCTTATTTCCCTGTTTATAATACCCAACAGAAGTTTGAAAATAATTTCCTGTGCTATCAACACTAGAAGCTAGATGCTCAGCTGTATCCAGTGAGGAAGGTCAGTCACAAAGGACTTTGTTGCAGGTCCCCAATTTTGGCTTATTCTAAAATGGCTGTGACATAATAGGCTGTTCTAGAGTATCCCAGTGAACAATGACCCCCCCCCCCCGTCCCCCCCGAGAGATGTTTGGCAGCCAGAGATTACTAGAACACACTGCATTCCAGTCATACCTCTTCCCCTCCCTTACACCAGGGGCTGCTGATGAGGCTGGCATAGCAGCCAGCTATGCCAACTCTAAGTTCAAATGAAACTGTCTTATGGAGTTGTATTGTATCCGTGTTGGTCCCAGGGTCCAAGAGAGACAAGGTGGATGAAGTAGTATCTTTTATTGGACCAAGTTCTGTTACCTGAAATCTGTTATTTACAGCCAGGCACTGAGGTACCATACATTATGCTCTAAGGAGAAAGTCTGGGACATAGACCGTAATACACTCAAAACTGCCTTCACTAAACAAAGACACTCCACCTTACCACCCCACACTGGAACCCATATGGGGTATCATCAAACAACCACCTCCATATTTGATGCGGACTCCATCCTGAAGTAAATCTTTCCTGTACCCCCTTTTTTGGCCTTCAATGGACCAATCTCTCCAAGCTCATCATCAGAAGCAGCTCCCCACAGACCAGAATACACCAACTCAAAGTGGCACCAGATCCTGCCAGAAGAACAGATACAAAACCTGCAGACTTTGCTCCACTGCTACATGATCAACACTCTCCACAACACACCTTTCAATATCCATGGGTCCTACACATGCCTATCACAACATGTTATATACCTCATCCAGTGCACTAAATGCCCCAATAGCAACTATGTGGGTGAAACCAGACAATCATTATGCTATCAAATTAACTCACCCAGGAAAATGAAAAGACAAAAGCACCACATCACCTGTGGGTGAACACTTTTCATAAAGCAATCACTCTATATCTGATCTATTTATTGGTCTAATAAAAGATATTACCTCACTCACCTTGAGTGGCCTTAGTCAAATCTCTAGAAGTACTTATCAAAACAGTAACACAGTTTGGCAAACTGGCAGCCTTTAGTCAAGAACCACTTGGCACAGGAACTCAAAGGTTGTTAAGGGATGAAGTGCATTGGTTTGCACAGTACCCCATCCCATGCCTGACTATCTGCTGCCATTGGCCTTTCCTTTAATGGAGTACTAAGTTCACCCCATAAAAAATTTTAAATTAGAAATGTATTCCTGGTAAATGTCCTTTTAAAGGGCTACTGCAGTATTAAAATGTGCTTCTTACTTGTTTTTAAGAGTTCTACACTTTATCACTTTCGGTATGGTTTCTAGTATACTGTGAAACTGCATTTTTTTTTAATTAATTTTCAAGCAAAGAGCCTATTTAACTGGTGAGATTTTACCTTTCGGGCCTGCTCCTCAGCTCTCTCTTTTTTGATTTTTTCTAGTTCAGCCAGAAGAGCCGCAGTATCGTCATCGCTCTCTTCATCAAAATCCTCATCTTCATCATCTTCCTAACAGGAGGAAATGGTGGGTTGGTTACTTCATTCCATTTCATAAAACCAGCTGTCTATTGTGGAAAGTATACATTTACTCCGGAAAAAGAAATTACACAGAACCAAATATTTTGCCCAAACATTGTAAAACCAGGACTGCCTAAGTAAGACTAGAATTTGCTGGAAGTGGATTCCTGAAGTGTTTTGGAGGTTGCAATGACAGCCAGTGTAATACAATTATTCTTTTGTCCTTCAACACTAACAGCAAGGCACAAATAGACGCATTTGTTCTTATCCAGACTATGCAATTCATTACTTGCATCCAACGGCTAGGCAGTTGGCATGCTGATACAATTACTGACACCAAACTATCCTTTCACTTGTACCTCAACCTCCCCCATTCCTTGTTTGATTTTAATTCATCAGTTGTCTCTAGTGGTATGCTAAAACTGTAAACTGTTTGGAGCAGGAACTGTCTTTTTGCTAAAGGAGCGTATAGTAACTAGCACAAGGTGGCCTTGAATGGAACTTCCAAGTACTACTTAGAAGCAAAATTAATATTGTGCTATCAAATGTACCACATGCACCCAGAGCAGCACGAAAGGAAGTAATTTTAATATTACAAAATAATGAGCGTAAGAGTGTGGCACATCAGCACCAGAAACTCTAGCTACCTAAGTTTTGATTTAAAGTCACTTCTTTCCCAATAACTGTTGGAAGGAAGATCCTCATTATCTACCAGCCAGAGCCTTCTATTCTACCCCCCTTCCTTAGCTTCCTAGCTACTGCCAGCGGTGTGTAAAAAGTGATTTCTTCAAACTGCTGTTAGGCTGTGAAAGCAGGGTCCTCCGAACAATTCTACATTCCACTGAACTCCAGTTATGGTAACTTGTTAAAGAAAGAGACCAGATGTCCTGGAACCATTATCTGGTATTCTGGTCCTTAACATATCTCCTAATGCAATATGTACAACTATTGAGTACCCTAAGGAAAAGCAAGAGATCTGGGGAGGAGAACTGAAAATACATACATCTGTGAGTGGATCATCTGCATCAAGGTTTGCTGCAGGAATCTGATCTAATCGAGGTTTCTTAGACACCGAAGAGGATGTGGTGTGCTCTGAGAAGTTAAAAAAGGAAAATTTATGAACATTAGGACAAGTTAATAAGATAGACAGTAAAGCAGAATCACCAAACTTGACCCTGCAACATCTAACTTCTGGAATCAAGTAACTTGATGCCTGAACTGACCTCCCTCGTAGAGACATCCCACGGCAGTGGAACTGGCACCCCAAAATACTCATTTTGTAGAATTTCTTCATGTCATTATTTGAAGAGGAAATGGGGCCAGCAGAGGTGGCTGCACTGCACCCTCCCAACTCCACAGATCCCAAGGAGACTGGAACCCTCAGTCTTGCATATGGGCTGCTTCTAAACACTGGCAGTCTGGACCTTATCAGCACAGCTTCTTCAGCCCATAGAGTTTGAATGTCCCTATTTTCTTACCACGAGTGTTGTTTAAGTATCTAGATGCATTTTAGATGATCCACACAATCAGTAGTGCCTAAATTTTCAAATACATCAGCACTATAGAACACAATCAAAGAGTTATTTGAAATATTAATTTCAGAGGAATTCTCCATTATTCACTGACAATCTCACATATTTTGTAATGTATTTGTCTCGCCAAGGCTAAAAAAATATCCACAAAATGTGTTTCCCCCAAGCAGGACAAGAATAAAAACTCTTTCAGTACGGTCATTAACTGGCAACATATATGTAACAGTCATGCTTTAGTGGCTGGCTCATAGATGATATGTGTTTTAATATTAGTGACGAAGGTTCTCCTTCAGCTCCAGTAGGTCATGGATTCTATCCCCGTGATATCCTGACAGAAGCGTATGGATTCATTACAGAATGTAACTTTCTGTTTAGTAGAAGTTTCATTTCACCTCTTGCTGGTCTGTCTCTGTTCTTTTCTCTTACAGCGACTCGTTCTCTCTCCTCCAGTTCTCTTCTGAAGTCACGGTTACGCACCTCCTCAGGGGCATCCTGCGTGGTCTGTCTAGAACAGGCAATGAAAAAAAAATAAGAAAAGGAAGGTGAAGCAGACAGTTCCCAGTTTGTAGCATTTGCCCCCGTGGGCCTGAAAGTTCTGGAATGAAGAGCTAGTTACCAGAAGTCAGAAAGATTCTGCAGAGCTATACAAGCAGCATGAGACACCATTCAAGGTGCATTCCCCACATGCTTCAGTAACATTAAAACTTCATCCAGTTTCCAGTGGCTTTCAAATGGATTTTAAAGACATCACAGAATTTCTGTAAAAACAGGGAATGACTATCCATCTCTCTTAGGTATTTCTAAGACACCTAGTAGTGTATTATACAAGTATCATGTCCTAGCCAACATTCACCAGGACCTGACATTCTGGCCAACATTCTCTCTCTGACAGTTATAATATCCCAAGTTATTGCTGAGCACATAAGGTTTTCCAGGTCTCTTCAGATAAGATCAAGACTAAAATGTGTTTTCAGTTAATCCCAGATAGATGTATCAGAGGACTATAGTTTATCCTTGCAGAGAGATGGTTTATCTACCTGCAAATTAGATGATTCACTAACTTGTGTTCTAGAAGAACAAACAAGTGGGAAGAGGGGGCAAATGGAAATAATAGCTTCAATAAAATATTACAGATACACCATGCATATTTAAGAGATCTCAGCCACGAGCAACAGCACATTCATATTTGACACACATTAATGCAAGCCTTTTTCAGGGAGTGTTAAATTTTCTGTGGAAAACTTAAAAAGAACTAAAATGAATAAAGTGAGCAATGATTCATTTCACTCCTCTGTTCTGGAAATAAGTGTACACAGTGCCTGGACGAAACCCAGATTCAAGCAGCTATTAATATACTGTATGCACATATCTGTTTTTATGGTGAAGTAATTTGCTCATTTTCTTACTGTATAAACAATAATCAGAATTTGCAGATCCCATATCTGAGTGGCTTGTGGCTGATACTACGTCATTCAAAACAGAACAAGGGAGACCAAAATACTGCAACAAGGTTCAATGATGTAGTACTATTTAACAAAGCCATCCTTCAGATCAGCTGGAGAACAGGGACATAAAGACGACACTATTAAAAAGCACCCAGAAGATTTGTTAAAATATTCAGCATGTGCTTATGCATGTATTTTCCCCATTGTTACTTATCTGAGAAAGTGAAAAACCAGTATGACACATCCTACTTGTCTTCCATTTCAAGCAAAAACATTAACTTTAAAAAACCATATTTGTCTGATAATGTCTTCTATATTATTGCTACAAACACCTAAAATTTTAACTAAAAAGTAGAGAAACACCACCATTTTTTATACTGTGCTTTTGACAGGATTTTGTGTACAGTTTTGTTATATTTCCAGCATGCTCCATTTCTCACCTATGAGTCTTGCACATAGCAAGAGAGATGAACAAAGCATTTCAAAAGGTAATGAAGTGAGAGCGTAAAATAACAAAAATTTGCAGTGGAGGGTCCAGGGAACTCAGAGAAGTGTAATATCAGCTACCTTTAACTGTTTAAAAAAAAAAAAAGATTGAATTTCAAATTGACACGGTCTTTAAATCTTGAGTTTCTATCTCAAACGATAACCAAAACTTGCCATTTCTTCCTCCACAACATATTGAAGATCCAACCACTCCTCTCTGTCCCAACTATAAACAGATCATTTCATGAATGAATTATTTTCCACACTGATTATTAAAACCTCCTCTTCTGTAGCCTGTGTGACACCTGTGTTGCTCACCTTCTGCCCTTCCAAAACACAATTGTAAAAATGATCTTTCTTGCCCAATGGGACTTCATTATTCCCGACCTTTGACTTTCTCTGCAGGCTCCTTTTTGCCCAATGTGTCAATTTAAAACCTCTGTCCTGGCTTGTAAGGCCCTTTAGAACCCCACCCCAGCACACATCTCTTATTCCATCTTTTAGCATGCCTCCCATCAGCTTCTTTGCTCTGCAAATACCAGCCTTGGTGATGATTATGATAATGATGAATGAGACATCATCTCCTCCTCCTTCCTTCACATGACCCTGTATCTTTTCCCTTATGCATAGAGTGCTCTGCTCAAGACAGTTCACCCTTTTCTTATTCTGGCCCCTTCTAAAGACTAAGTTCTGCTGTGGTGCCCACAAGAAACAAGTAAATACAATATATATTAAAATATTACAATTACTTCCAGTACATCCTATTTTCAGTGTTTGCTCTTCAGACTGGAAACTCTTCTGTCTTCCATCTCTGCACCCTCACTGTGGCAGGTGAAATGCCCTTATTTTTGCATCTGTATAGTGCTAAGTACATTATCAGTGTTTAATATATAAATATTATCTGTGATATTTCTCTTTCAGTAGCAGTGCAAGTCTGAGAATAATTCACTGTACACCATGTTCTGCAAGAAAAGAAACTGGCCTTTACCTGTATTTAATTTTAGTATGAGAAGGAAGATCTCTGCTGGAATATTGTTTGGAGAGTTGACTTAAATCTCCTTCTCCTTTTCCTCTTCCTCCTCTTGCAGGTTCAAATGTTGGCCTCGCTGCTGTTGTCATCTTAATTACTTCAAGAACAAATATAAAAATTTGGTAATTACCACTATTCATAATGAAAGGCATTAATTGAAGAAGAACATTACTCATGGAGTTATAGCAGCAACCACAGCTCTTGCTACAGTTAAAGAGTGTAAACTGCAACTTGGCAAACAGTGCTGCATCTGAGGAACATTTTAGTTAACTGAATAACCTATTCAGATTTTCATGAATCTGTCAGGAAAGGAAAAAGAAACACAGGACATGAGATTATTACATATATAGAAAGCTCCTTTCAAGAAAGACAAAGTATTATAAAAAGTCAATAAATTTCCATTTTTTTCTTCTCAAAAATATGAGTCAATATCACTCAAGTCAAATCACACATGCAAAGTAATCTATAATTAATGTCTATAAATTAAATTAGTCAAATGTTAGTTTATCTCAAATGAGACACTATGATAACATATGAAAACCTCTGTTACTAGCTTTCTGTCATTTCCCTCAACACAAGGTTGTCATCAACGGCATGAACAAGCTCTCTCCTACATTTCCTGTTTTCAGAGTAGCAGCTGTGTTAGTCTGTATTCGCTAAAAGAAAAGGAGTCTCTAAGGTGCCGCAAGTACTAACAAATTTATTTGAGCATAAGCTTTCATAAGCTACAGCTCACTAAGGTGCCACAAGTACTCCTTTTCTTATTTCCTGTTTTGTAGATCTGCCTTTCTAGACCTTCCCATCTCATCTTCCCATCCCCTGGGGGACTAACTTGAAGGGGAAAGGAGTCCAGGAGAGCTGGCTGTATTTCAAAGAATCCCTGTTGAGGTTACAGGGACAAACCATCCCGATGAGTCAAAAGAATAGTAAATATGGCAGGCGACCAGCTTGGCTTAATGGTGAAATCCTAGCGGATCTTAAACATAAAAAAGAAGCTTACAAGAAGTGTAAGGTTGGACATATGACCAGGGAAGAGTATAAAAATATTGCTCGGGCATGTAGGAATGATATCAGGAGGGCCAAATCGCACCTAGAGCTGCAGCTAGCAAGAGATGTTAAGAGTAACAAGAAGGGTTTCTTCAGGTATGTTGGCAACAAGAAGAAAGCCAAGGAAAGTGTGGGCCCCTTACTGAATGAGGGAGGCAACCTAGTGACAGAGGATGTGGAAAAAGCTAATGTACTCAATGCTTTTTTTGCCTCTGTCTTCACTAACAAGGTCAGCTCCCAGACTGCTGCGCTGGGCATCACAAAATGGGGAAGAGATGGCCAGCCCTCTGTGGAGAAAGAGGTGGTTAGGGACTATTTAGAAAAGCTGGACGTGCACAAGTCCATGGGGCCGGACGAGTTGCATCCGAGAGTGCTGAAGGAATTGGCAGCTGTGATTGCAGAGCCATTGGCCATTATCTTTGAAAACTCGTGGCGAACGGAGGAAGTCCCGGATGACTGAAAAAAGGCTAATGTAGTGCCAATCTTTAAAAAAGGGAAGAAGGAGGATCCTGGGAACTACAGGCCAGTCAGCCTCACCTCAGTCCCTGGAAAAATCATGGAGCAGGTCCTCAAAGAATCAATCCTGAAGCACTTGCATGAGAGGAAAGTGATCAGGAACAGCCAGCATGGATTCACCAAGGGAAGGTCATGCCTGACTAATCTAATCGCCTTTTATGATGAGATTACTGGTTCTGTGGATGAAGGGAAAGCAGTGGATGTATTGTTTCTTGACTTTAGCAAAGCTTTTGACACAGTCTCCCACAGTATTCTTGCCAGCAAGTTAAGGAAGTATGGGCTGGATGAATGCACTATAAGGTGGGTAGAAAGCTGGCTAGATTGTCGGGCTCAACGGGTAGTGATCAATGGCTCCATGTCTAGTTGGCAGCCGGTATCAAGTGGAGTGCCCCAAGGGTCGGTCCTGGGGCCGGTTTTGTTCAATATCTTCATAAATGATCTGGAGGATGGTGTGGATTGCACTCTCAGCAAATTTGCGGATGATACTAAACTGGGAGGAGTGGTAGATACGCTGGAGGGGAGGGATAGGATACAGAAGGACCTAGACAAATTGGAGGATTGGGCCAAAAGAAATCTGATGAGGTTCAATAAGAATAAGTGCAGGGTCCTGCACTTAGGACGGAAGAATCCAATGCACCGCTACAGACTAGGGACCGAATGGCTAGGCAGCAGTTCTGCGGAAAAGGACCTAGGGGTGACAGTGGACGAGAAGCTGGATATGAGTCAGCAGTGTGCCCTTGTTGCCAAGAAGGCCAATGGCATTTTGGGATGTATAAGTAGGGGCATAGCGAGCAGATCGAGGGACGTGATCGTTCCCCTCTATTCGACATTGGTGAGGCCTCATCTGGAGTACTGTGTCCAGTTTTGGGCCCCACACTTCAAGAAGGATGTGGATAAATTGGAGAGAGTCCAGCGAAGGGCAACAAAAATGATTAGGGGACTGGAACACATGAGTTATGAGGAGAGGCTGAGGGAGCTGGGATTGTTTAGCCTGCAGAAGAGAAGAATGAGGGGGGATTTGACAGCTGCTTTCAACTACCTGAAAGGGGGTTCCAAAGAGGATGGCTCTAGACTGTTCTCAATGGTAGCAGATGACAGAACGAGGAGTAATGGTCTCAAGCTGCAGTGGGGGAGGTTTAGATTGGATATTAGGAAAAACTTTTTCACTAAGAGGGTGGTGAAACACTGGAATGCGTTACCTAGGGAGGTGGTAGAATCTCCTTCCTTAGAGGTTTTTAAGGTCAGGCTTGACAAAGCCTTGGCTGGGATGATTTAACTGGGAATTGGTCCTGCTTCGAGCAGGGGGTTGGACTAGATGACCTTCTGGGGTCCCTTCCAACCCTGATATTCTATGATTCTATGAGTTGTGTGCTTTATTTGTAGAATAAAGCAGATAATTATTATTAAAGGTTTTTTTTATATGGTGCTTTTACCCAAAGCGCTTTACAATAGTTAGCTAATGGTACAAACAACATTTGGAAAGATCATTAAGTGATCCACCGAGACCCTCAGCAATTTTCAAGTGGTCTGCAAAAAAAAAAAAGTTTGAGAACCACTGGCCTAGTAGCTAGAGCATTGGGACTCAGTAGGCCTAGCTGGCCTGTTGGGTCACCTCAAGCAAGTCACTGCCTTTTCCTGTGCCTCACCTTCCCCATCAATAATATGTGGATAATGATACCGACCTCCTTGGTAAAGGGCTTTGATAGAAAACGTTATATAAGAGCTAGATATTAGCAGTAACCTCGCACCCTCCTATTGCATGCTATTTTAACTGTGGAATAGTGTTTAACCTCCATTTAGGACACAGTCCACGTGAAAAGAACTATGTAAAATGTCATCATTGAAGCTAAAGTCTCCACTAACGGCGTAGCCCTCGACTGCCCCCCCCCCCGCCCCCTGCACAGAGATGCCCCGTTTTCCCCCATCAAAGGCACCGCGCCCCCAAATCAGCCCCCTCGCCTTCCTCTCCAGCCCCTTCCGTCAATGACACCCTCCACTCCGCCACACGGCCCCCGCCATCAGAGCCGCCCCCCCACGGGCCCCCCTCCAAAGAACCCCTCCCCCAGAGCCGCCCCCCAACATGGCTCCCCCCATCCGTGACATGCCCCCTCTCACGGCCTCCACACCCAGGGCTCCCCCTTGCCCCCAAGAGCACCCGCCTCCAGGCGCCAGGACTTACCTTAGACACAGCGGGTCCCCCCCCGCCACTGCCCCGCACCTCGACCAGCTACGCGCGCTCGGCCAGTCCCTAGGCCATAACTCCTCCGCCTTCCCACAGGTCACCGCGCGCAAACCATAGACACGGACCCGCTCAGGGAAGCACCATAGAGAGGTCAGAAGAGGCGGGGCTTACGCCTTCTCGGCGAGGGGAGCCACGTGACGTCACGTCACGTGACTGCGCGGGCGCTGCTCCGCCATGATGGTTACCGGGGCGGAAGTTCCCTCGCTCTGCGCCTGGAGCGGGTGCTGTGGTTCCATTGTCGCCCGCCGCCCTGTACCTAGCTCGCGATGGCGGCAGCTCCTCACGCAGAGCGTCTGAGACCCCAGCCCGAGAGGGGGCAGGGTCCGGAGCCTGTGCGGTGCAGGGGGCCAGGCTGGATGATTCGGAGGGGCTCCGAGTCCGTGAATGGGCACAGGGCCTGGGGAGCCGGGCGCCCAGCCCGTCGCGGCTGCAGCGTGGCCCTGCCTCTGACGGGGCCTGAGGGCGAGACCCGCCTCGTCCGGTCTCTCCCCTGCGGCCGGTGCTTTTCCCGTCGGTTTGTCTGGTTTAGCTTGGGCGGGGGGTGTCATGCCTGACAGTCCGGCCCCCTCAGAGGTCCAGAGAGGCCCGGGCCACTTCCAGCCGTCGAAGACCCCCAGCGATCGTAAAAATAAAACACGACGACAGGTGAAAACAGAATAAGGCACCAGAAAAGGAGGGAGACAGAATTTGAATATTTCTTTATTGAACAAATGCTTCTCGCCTCTCGTGTTTGCTGAACTTTGCAGCTCTCAGCTGAGAGAGGGGGGCCACGTTTTGGTCCAATAGGGACGCACAGAAAAGCAAGTTGCGAAACTTACCAAATGCCAAAAAATTAACAAGTGTATAAATTTGAGGACCCCCTTCCTCCCCCCACGCTTGAGCTTGAGGCCCAGGCCAACTGGCCCTCCTGCCCTCCCACCCCCATTGGCCCTGCTGACAGTTACCGGGGCAGAAACCGATCCCAATGCCCCCCTCCTAACAGCTTGCTGTTAATGACATCATCCACCAGGGGGTCCCCAGAGCTAGTGGGCCAGGCTGAGCCACAGTAACAGGTTCATGGTGGCCAGGAGCAAAGTTTGTATGATCTAGGGCCCAATGATGGACGAGATTGATGCCTCTGGCCCCGTCTGACTGAAGTATTTCTGAGCACCCCACCCTGGTGCTTAATGCCTGGGAGAGTCTCGTCACCGCTCAGGGCTGAACTGTTCAAGGGCGGTGGCAGGGCATTGTCACCCAAGCACCCTATCGGTGGAATTTGCTCCCTTTGATGTTCTTCCCACGCCTGTCTCTCATGATCCCCAGGGTCTGGTATAAGATACATTTACTTGATTTGAGCTGTAGTGGCTTTGTGTGTGTGTATGTCTGTGTGTCTTTTAATTCCTGGGAAAATGACAGCCCACTTCCCGCCATTTGTGAAGACATCAGAAGAGGGTCTTTAATGCTCCCCAGTGGAAGTGTCCCAGAGTTTTACATAATATATTTTAAAGAAATTGTTATAAATGTCTAGCTGCTATGGGCACCCAGTAAATTAAGTAACAACTATTAAGGACATTCCCGAGAGTTACACCTGTAAATAAATATTCATATTTTTGCAATCAGCCCAATTCTACTGCTTGTGAAATCAATAAGAGTTTTGCCATTGATTTCAAAATGAGCAGGATTATGCTAATAGATCAAAGTATTACAGGGAGTCTAGTGCATCCAGTTTTGATCTGAAGACATCAAGAGCGGGAGAAGCCATCACTTCCCTTTGTAGCTTGTTCCAGAGGTTGGAATTAAATGCTATGCAGTTCCTGTACAGGGTGACTGTTAGGTGAGATCTTAAAACTGGATGTTGCCCCAGCTCTGAAGGGCTATTAAACATGAGGATGCTGTGTGGTAGTTGGCTGGTGTCTTTCACCCCAGCTGTGTCTGCATTTCAGTAGTGATGTGTGTATGTATAGCTGCTGAAGTGTTTTGGGTTCAAAGTTACTAACCGATGTTCAGTGATTGCGGCTCAAGTGAGCTTTATTGTGTGGTTCGGAGATTGATTTTTGGGTTGGGGAGGTGAGACAAATGGGTTATTGAGTAGGAAGTTAGGTAACTGGCAGGCTTTAGTGGCACTTTCACAGCCTTTACTTTAGTGATATCAGAATACATTCTCTATAACTGATCAATGGACTTTCTACCTTATTGCATCTCACACATGTATGGATCTGCCCTGGCACCTTGAGGAACCCTTAGGGCCCCAATCCACCAGCTCCACACAGGGCAGATATCCCATAGGGAGAAGAGAATTCTGCAGTGGGACGGCCCATTATCTGACAGGTTTCAGAGTAACAGCCGTGTTAGTCTGTATTCGCAAAAAGAAAAGGAGGACTTGTGGCACCTTAGAGACTAACCAATTTATTTGAGCATGAGCTTTCGTGAGCTACAGCTCACTTCGTCTGAGGGAGTTGTGGAGATACTGGTTCCTTTTTAAAAAAGGACAAACTAATGCTAGATAGATGAAAGGCAGTTGGGTACAAGCTACAAAGAAGTGGGGGCGGCAGGAAGAAATAGATACAATAAATTATATAAAAGTAATAAGCGAATCCAGGGTCACTTTTCCCAGAGGAGACAAAGGGGATGGTTAAGGAGCGTTTGGGATTGTAGTTGGATAGGGAATTTTAAAAATGCAAATTTAATTTTTTTTAACAATTTAGAAGAATCAAGATTTTATCTTTGTTTACAGCATTGGTGAGACTGATACTGGCATACCGCGTCCAGTGCACATTTTTAAAAGGATGCTGAAAAATTGGAGAGGGTTCAGAAAAGAACCACAGAAATGATTTGAGGGTTGGGAAAAGTGCTTACATTGAGAAACTGAAGGTGCTCCATCTATTTATCTTATCAAAAAGAAGATTGAGAGGTGACTTGATTATGGTATGTAAGTATTTTCCAGGTGGGTATTAAAGGACTGTTTAATCTAACAGAGAACAGCACAACAAGAACCAATGGCTGGAATTTAAAGCTACACAAACACCCACCATGGATGGTCTAAATATACTTAATCCTTCCTCATTGTGGGGGGGATGGACTAGATGACCTACTGAAGTCCGTTCCAGCTCCACATTTCTGTGATTGAATTTCTGTTTTTGGGGGTGGAGTCACAAAACAATAGGAGGAGAAGGTGCCTTCATTATAACTTTTAGCCTAGTGGTTAGAGCACTCATCTGGGAGACCCAGGTTCAGTTCCCCCCATGCCTGATAGGGAGAAGGGATTTAAACATGGATCTCCCACATTGCAGGAGAGCACCCCTCGCCACTGAGATAGTCTGGTGTGAGTTTCAATCTCTGCTCTTGAAGTTGTTCCACCTTTTATAAATAAATAGTCATTGGAGCAGGGATTGAATTTGGGATCTCCCACATCTCAGGTTAGTGCCCTAACCGAGGGGTTCTCCGCCTTGCCAGACTACTGTACTCCTTTCAGGAGGCTGATTTGTCTTGCGTACCCCCAGTTTCACCTCATTTAAAAAGTACTTGCTTACAAAGTCAGACATAAAAATACAAAAGTGGCACAGCACCCTAGCACTGACAAATTGTTTCCTTTCTCATTTTTACTGTATAATTATAAAATAAATTGTGACACCCACCCCCAAGGTTGAGAAACACTGATATAGTCTATAGAGCAGTATAAACAAGTCATTGTATGAAATTTTAGTTTGCACTGACTTCAGTAGAGCTTTTCATGTAGCCTGTTGTAAAACTAAACAAATATCTAGATGGGTTGACATACCCCCTGGAAGACCTCTGTGTACCCCCAGGGGTACACGTACCCCTAGTTGATAACCATTGCCCTCAGAACTGCAGAGTCATTCCCACTCATTCCCTAGCCCAGTAACAATTCACAGTGGCAATTCATAGCCATTCATAATGATAATGTACGGTCTTTTTTTTTTATTATTATTATTATTTGGAATTGCCAGTGCACCGAAAAATTCATTATTTGCCCAGCTCTAGATTTTTAGAGAATGGTGGCTTAATGCACAGGTTCAGAAAGCTCTGAATCAAAAATGTAACCTTAGAAGAAGTCAGGAAGTTACTGTTTCCTTGATTTAAAAAAAGAATGGATGACTGATAAAGCACTTTTTTAGAGTAGCAGCCGCGTTAGTCTGTATTCACAAAAAGAAAAGAAGTACTTGTGGCACGTTAGAGACTAATAAATTTATTTGAGCATAAATAAAAGCCTCTGAGTCAGCTTTACACTGTTTGTCTGTATTAAGAACTGTACTCTGACACCTTTCACTGCTGGTTCTTGGCCACACCTGCTGTGCCCCCATTGTGCAGGAAGTCTTTTGGTGCTGCACAAGACTGACACCGTCTATTAACCTTTTCATTGCTGGGGTCCACTGCGCTGCCGCTGTCCGTTAACCCTTTCACTCCTGCAAATATCAAGAGTGTTACTCAGCACTCTAGTAGTTAATGACCCATGGAAACCAAAACAAAGATTCAGTTATTCCAGAGTGCTAGGATGGGGGACTGGCAATTGACTGGAAAAATCTCCCAAAAAAGTACATAGGAGAAATCTTGTGCTCTATCTCTGAAGCATGAGACAAAGACAGCAAACCTTTCAGTACTTGACTGATGGAGCAGTGGATACTGAAGTGGGAAAGATTAAAACAGCTCTCAATTTGCCAATCGAAACATTGTTTGTAGTGTTGTTGTAGCTGTGTGAGTCCCAGGATATGAGAGAGACAACAGAAATTGGTCCAATAAAAGATATTACCTCACCTACCTTGGCACCCCCAACAGAAACATTTCTAGTTAAACAATCTTATACATCAGCACGTAAACTGCAGCGTCAGGAGGGATTTCTCTCCCGCATCACAGTTGGGGCCTAATCCTGTAATTCACCTGCACATAAATCCCATCGCAAGGTTTGAAAACAATACAGGCAAATCATTTAACTCAGTAGGAATCCCCTGCAAGGAGGACTTACAGGATCTGGTCCCCTTGTCTAGGTGCATGGTTGAGGGTGTGGTCGCCTTTCTGTATTGGCCACTTGCTAAATACCAAACGTCCTGGACCAATGTTCTAATTTGGTACGATAGCACATGGTA